CTGAGACCGAAGATAAGCCTAAAGAAAACTCGTGTTTAACTCCCACTCAAAAGTTGTACGAAACCAACACTTTGGCTGAAAAAGTGGTTTCTGTAGAGAAGGACGAGACGGACACCAAAGCCAAAGATAAGAAGAAGAAGAAGCGAAAGCAAAAAGATTACGATTCGTCTGATTCTGATGTGGAGAAAGAGAAGAAGAAGAAGAAAAAGAGACGAAAGAAGTCTTCAAAGAGACGGAAGCGGAGGTCATCTTCGAGTTCTAGTAGTTCTGATTCTTCAGATACGAGTGAATCCGAAGATCGAAAAAAGAAGAGAAGAAAACACAAGAAAAAGAAGTCTAGAAAACATAAAAAAGATAAGAAATTATCGGAAAATAAAGAGAAGACAAAAGTGATGACTGAAGACAAGAAGAAAGTGAAAGACACGGAAATAGAGTTCGTGACCGTCCTCTCAGTGGGCGAAACACCAGTTGAGCTAAAATGGCCTAAAAATTTGATAAAATACACGCAATGCGAGCCAAGCATTCAGTATAGCATTAGTCCGAAAGTAACCGTAAATTCAGACGATTTCAAGCAAACCAAAGAACCGAGAAATAAAATAGTAGAAGAAATTGAAAGAATACGACACTTTGGGATCGATAATGAAAGTGAGAATAAAGGCAATGAGAAGTTGACCACAGAATATGAGAGGTTTATGGGTGAAGTGAATCCCAATTATGAAAGCCATGCCATAAGTGAAGAGTCGAAAGATTTAGAGACAAAACTGAGAGAAAAATTAGTCAAACAATTGCACGATAAAAATGACGATGATTTCGAGGCCATGACTCCAGCAGAGCGAAGAGCCATTGAAAAGAAGAAAAAGAGTTATCATTCATATGTCGACGCGAGTGATGACCACAGAAGACATGAAGACCTCAAGTCTGCGCCAATGAGTGCCTACTATTCAGCAAAAGTCCAAAAGAGTTNAATGACTACAATCCCACTGATTTGACTAATTGGATGACACAAAAGGGCTATACTTTGGACTCAACTAATTCTTGGATTCCTAATCAAAGTGCAGAGAATGTCACTGAAAACTCCTCGAAGAGCCAGGAATCACAATCTTGTGTCGAATCCTCGGCTTTGGAACTCAATCCGACCCTCACTTCTGATGTAAATGACAGTATATTTTTGTTTTACAATTTTCTCTTATATTTAATTTTTACTCATTTTTAGAGAAATGATTCAAACGAACAAATGGTCGATAAAATAGTCACTAATGAGGAAAACAATGATATGAAAGATAAGACCACTGAAGCAGACGGTCAACAAAACATTGGAGTCTTAATATCGTCCACTCAGTCAGACATGCCTTTTGATTCTGAATTGGGATTGGATTCTGAATCTAAAGACCAAACGGACTCTTCAGATATGTCTCCATTTTCATTGACACAAAGTAAACAGAAGGTTAAGGTTCGAGTGAACGCCACTTCGCACAATGACATGGATGTGTCCGATGGAGACAGCCCTCCGCCACCACCACCTCCTCAACCGCGACCTTTAATGACAACAATGACTTCATCAGACGAATACACTCTACCCAATGGACAGGTACTGCCCGCGGGAACCAAACAGATTGTCGTCCATCCCTACCAAACGGACGATCCAAACAAATTCACAGCCGAATGGTATTACAACGCATACGATGGACAACAGACACCAACCAACTCCTCTTAAGACCAATCATTTGGACTCTGATTAACATTTATTTCTATTTTATTTAACTTATCTCTGATTTGATTAGAATTTCATATAAATATAAACTTATTTTCACAAAAGATATAAAAATAATGTAAATATTTGTCTAAAAGTTATGCTCTGTTTTCGTAATTTCTTTAAATTTAATTCAAATTTCATTATAATATTAAACGAATAGAATATTTGGTATTAAAATTGCATTTAAATGTCAGTCGTTTGTGAATATTTGTGAACGGAGTCGACAAAAACGGCTAAATGATCGGGATTTACATCAGGGTATATCCCGTGACCCAAATTAGCGATATATCGTTGAGTTCCAAAGCTTTCGACCATCTCTTTGACCATAAGATCGATTTGTTTGACATCACTATAGAGAGCACAGGGATCCAGATTCCCCTGAAGAGTCACTGAATTGCCGGCCAAAGATCGCGCTCTCGACGGCTCTATAGCCCAGTCAACGCTTATGACATCGTATTGCGAATGACTGAGCGATTCAATGGCCATATGAGCGTCTTTGGCGAATACAATCATAGGAACCGTTGGAACTTTCAGATCATTTAGGGCTTGTTTCACACCTTCACTGATTTTGTTGAGGAATGGGAGGGAAAACTCGTTGAACTGTTTTGGGCCTAAAAAGCCGGCGTTTGACTCAAACACTTGTAGCAACTGAGCGCCGGCCTTGACCTGAGCCACCAAATACGCGATGATAACATGAGTTAACTCATCCAATAGTTGGAGACTCTCGTCAGGGTATTGATACAACCACTTCTTAGTCTTAGCCAATGTCTTGGATCCGCCGCCTTCTATCATATAAGCCATTAGAGTGAACGGCGCGCCCGAGAAGCCAATCAGAGGCACTTTACCCTCCAGTTTATGTCGGGTTAGAGTTATAGCTTTCATCACATAATCCAACTCTTTCTCCACATCGATGTCAAGTTTAAGTAATGTCTTAATGTCTTCGGGTTTAGTGAGAGGTGTGGGCAGAACGGGTCCGACGCCTCCAACCATTTGCACCTCCATTCCCAAGGCCTGAGGTATGACCAGAATGTCTGAGAAAATGATGGCCGCGTCTAAATCGAAACGTCGGATCGGCATTAGAGTCACCTCTGAGGCCAACTCAGGGGAGCGACAGATGTCGAAGAAGTCGTGCTTTTGTCTGAAGAGTTGGAACTCTGGTAAATACCTGCCGGCCTGTCTCATCACCCAAACCGGCACTCTTTCGGTCTTCACACCATTCGCTGCCCTCACCATCAGATCATTCTTAAGAACTGGAAATGTATTATCCATTGTCTGTCTGTTTCCTTACAAATATTCAATCAAATATTAATCAAATCTTCGGATCCAAACCATTCATTAATTCAACAAACATTGTCGACATCTGTAGCATATAGTCATCAAACAAATCGATCTTATGGTCAAAGAGATGGTCGAAAGCTTTGGAACTCAACGATATATCGCTAATTTGGGTCACGGGATATACCCTGATGTAAATCCAGATCATTTAGCCGTTTTTGTCGACTCTACATTCTGGTCATACCTCAGGCCTTGGGAATGGAGGTGCAAATGGTTGGAGGCGTCGGACCCGTTCTGCCCACACCTCTCACTCTCTCTCTCTCTCCAATTGCATAATCATTAAGTTGTTTAAGAGAGTTTGTTTGTTTTAAAAATTTGTTTACGGTAGATTGATAGAAAAATGTCTAATATATAATTTAAACTATATTTTCTAACTTGTAGTAATCAGTCCCTAAACATCATAAATAGAAAATAACTTCTTTATACAGTCAGTTAGAATAAATCGTAAGGAAATTTGTGAACTTTGATAAAACTTTATAGACTAACAGTTGAAGTAGGGTCAATTCTGTTCATCAAACATTTTTATTTTAATTATTAAATTATAAGTACAGTATACGTATAGAAAAAAGTATGTGTATGGCTACTGTATTAAAATATTGGTGTCATATCAATTGGCTAATTAAAATTTTAGAAATTGTTGCCAATTGGTTGTACATGGTGTATTTTATAAAATATAATTCTATACAATTCTATGCTATCATCGCAAAAAGTTTGCACACAATTTTAAAACAATTTTGTCTATGAAGTAAACAATTAAGTAAATATACAATGGGTTTTACAATGTTTGTTTTGTGTAATAAATATATTTGTAACAAATGCTAACATACCTGTCCTCGCGGTTTGAAAACAATTATTGAAGAAATTGCTGAAATGTTACTTAAGTTAGTGTTTCTAATAAAACAACAGATTATTGCAACTGTGTCATTTATTTGTACTAAGACTAATACAGTACTAATATAAAGTTAAAGTTTCTAAAGTAATATATTTGAGTAACAATAGTGTAATAAGAGTGCAATTAAGCCACAAATTGCAGTTCACATGAATTCACTGAAACAAGTGGTGCTGTATTTGCACTTGATTTCCGATCAAAACTTGACAGTTGTGTGCAATTTGTCAAAATGTACAATTCAACAAATGAACAAGCTACTTTATTTTACATGACATGGCCTATGAGTGACGTGATTGGTGTACGACCTGATGGGTAGCATCGATGTATCGGTGTATGAGTAGTAATCGATGTCTTTGTGTGAGTGAGTGATCAGTGATCTGTTGATCTGATCCTGTAATGAGACACTGAAGTAGTCGTACATCTGAACGGATCCATTGAAGAATTGAAGACAAGATGTGCGCTAACGCGTCACCGTTTGTGTCCTCGCAATACAGTCATCCGGGTTTCAATCCGACAAAACTGGGCCAAAGAGCTCAGCAGATGATGGTTAGTATGACGTGTGTTGTGGTGATGTCGTGGTGTTAACGATATGTGTGTTTGTCTTTGGATGTGTTATAGGGTGAGCATCGGGTGCCGAAAGCGCCGAAACCACCGGACAAGCCGTTGATGCCATACATGCGCTACAGTCGAAAGGTGAGTGCTTTTGCATTATTGCTGATCCAGTGGTCGACTGATTGAGT